AATCTTGCGTTCTCTTTCCCTCCAGGAGTGTTTTAAGATGCCACAGTCTTTAGGGGCATTAGGAGGAAAACCAAATAACGCCTATTATTTCATAGGATTCTTAGGTAAGATGAAAGGGTGAATCACAAGTAAGTTATCATGGGCTAGGGGAGGGTGTGGGGCAAAGGTATGTGTGGGAGACCAGACAGCTCTAGTGAATAGGCCCCTGTCAAACCTGGGGATACCATGGCTTCTGGTCAGCTCTTTCTGTCCCCAGTCTAATCTACAAAGAGTAACACTCCCTTTTGTCTAATGGAAATCAAGTCTTCAATGCCTCTGCTTCTTTGCCTCCTTAATAAGATGATTTCGCTACTTCCCCACTGAATGGCCCAAGGTCATAGCATTGTTTCAGAACATCTCTCTCTTGCCTGTGGGGCCCCAGGGCAGTGGGACTGCAGTCTGTTGGCTTTGCTGATCTCCATCTTTTTGGGGTTCAGGCAACCAGGCTAGGAACATCCTCTGACTTCCCAGGCCCCCGTAGCTGGGCCTGATGGCTCACTGCTCAGAGCCATGACAGGGTAGAAATTAGAGGAAGCAAAGACAGACCTGTCCTCCTCGCAATAGTGGTGGCTAAGCCTTAAAACCACTAATCTTGTAATACGGACCCCAATGAGCAGTCCAACATTCTCTGCATAAGGCAGCGCTTCTGGAAATCTAGCCCCCTTACTATGACCAGACACATCGCGCACAGGTAAATTAGCTCAGTGCTTCCTGAACTTTTCTGTGCATATATCTCCTAGGCAGCCTATTTGAATGCAGACTCATTAGGTCTGTGTAGGGATGAGATTTGCTTTTCTAACTAGGTGGTGTCCATGCTGCTGGTCCATAGACCTCACTTGGAGAATCATGGGCCTGGTTCTCAAAGGAATCTGGTTAGTGCTGAAGAGTGTGAGCAATGAAGTGATGAGCCATGACCAATGGGAGATTTGGCATGGACGCCTCTTGTAGGAATGGAGTGGTGAAAGACTGCACCCCAAGAAAGTTAGGAGCTTCGGTAGGTTGACAGGCAATGAGAGCCAGAGCAAATTATAAAGGAACGACATAGGGGCCTGTCTATCCTCTGGAGATTTGGGGAGGTGAGGTGGGATGGCAGCAGGCATACCTGGCTTTAACATGTCAGTCTCCCTTTTCTAATGGTGTGACTGTAGGAAAAGGGTATCAACTCTTTCAGTCTCAGGTTCCTGTCATGTAAAGTAGGCTAACACCTGATTCACCATTAGGTCATCTCACAGTAAAGTGTTCAGCCAAGAGCCAGGCATATAGTACACACTCAGAAAAACATGGCTCTACCTCATGCCTCTCTTTCCTCTAGCTCTTGGGGTGTGGGGAGAAAGGGGGGGAGATGCCTCTTCTGCCATCTATTGGTTGAGCCTAAGAACTACAGCTTAATGGGAAGTCTGGCTTTTATTTTTCTAAGTACAATACCCAGTATTTGGAGTTAAGTACAAATAAGCAGAGATGCCCTCTGCTTCTAAGCTTTTGGTTCCTATTATAGAAAATGTTGCAAAAATTTACATTTGGCACTCTGTATCTGAGTTCCCCATGCATGGATTTGACCAACCATGGACTGAATATACTTGGAAAAAAATTGCATCTGTCCTGAACATGTACAGATTTTAGTCTTTTCATTATTACCACAACACCTATGTGAGGTAGAGTCTATCATTTCCACTTTATATATAGCAAAATGAAGATTAAGAGGTTTTTTTTTCCCTCAAGGTCACTCAGCCAGAAAGCAGTGAAACCAGGACTTGATCCCAATTTGGTCATCTCTGCCTACCACACTCCATTGCTTCTCTAGGCTCTCCTGCCCAATGGGAATCTGGAGAAGCTCTGGATGTGGGAGGCTGTGATCAGGGTGACATGGTGAGACTGGCTGCCAGCTTTTGCCTGCTTACAGAGAAAGAGCTGTTTATTCCCTATACTTGGGCACAGGTTGCCACCTGGAGATCCATAGTGTTAGCCCTGTCTTTACAGATGGTTGACCAGCCTGCCCCTTCTCTCTGGGGCTTGGTAGAGATCTTTGGTGAGTCTCCATATCATTTTAAGACTTTGTATATCCTTTGCTGTATTTCTTATAAGCAAGCACTCTCAAAAAAGAGGCATCCTGCAAAGCAAGCTCTTACACACACACACACACACACACACACACACACGGAAAAACATCATGACCTTTTTCCTAGCACCTTAACTCAAAACACTCTAGCAGATGGCTTGGTTTTACCCCTGCTTTGGCTGTTTTCTTGTCCATAACTCCTTTTTTTCTTGCCTTTCTATGGTCTTAGATAGGCTTCCTGCCAAACATCTTGTGTGTGATCTGAGGCATTTTTTTGGTTGTACAGGGGTTTGAAGTCAGGCCTTTGCACTGTTAGGCAGGTGCTCAACCACCACTTCAGCCATGTCCCCAGCCCTCTTTGTTTTTGTTATTTTGGGATAGTGTCTTGCATTTATGCCCTGGGCATCCTGGACCATGATTCTCCTATTTACATTTCCTGCATAGCTGGGATGACAGGTGCATACCACCACATCCAGCTTTTTATTGGTTGAGATGGGGGACCTCATGAGCTTTTTGCCTGGACTGGCCTCTAACTGTGATCCTCCTGATCTCTATTTCCTGAGTAACTAGGATTACAAGTGTGAACCACTGTGCTCAACCCCTAGTATTTACTAGGGGAACATGTTTTACCTTGACTTTCATAAAACAAGTCATATGGAGACACTGATTTCCATATCTCTTAACCATATATTTATAGGAGAATATCTTTGATTTGAAGATATTTCTATGACCACCTTGTTTGACATTGTGTTGTACACATTTCACAGAGATAGAAATTTCTGGTTCTTATTATACCCTGTAGGGTAGCTGAACAGGCCCAATGACCCCAGTTGAAAACAAGAACATTAATTCTTAGAGAGTGAATAAAGTGGTTTGTCTTTGGTTTATGTTATACAAGTGAAACTTTTCATCAGACATCACAAACACAATCTTTGTCAACAGACGCATATTGATGTGCCCTCCTGGATGCCATTCCAGGGAAGGGCTTCAGCACATTTTCTTCTGTCTCCTTGATCACCTGACAGTAGAGGACACAGAAACCCACACAGTCTCAACCATGAACAGTGACATCGAGTGCCCCTTTGGGTACGTTCACCTACTAAGCATTAGGTCAAATTAGAAATTTTATCACTCCAAATTCTACCCAGTTAATTTGGGCACTGGTATGTTCAATTTAATGAAGCATGGTTTGTCTCTTATGTGAAAAAGTCAGTCATCTTGGGTTGAGGGTGTAGCTCAGTGGTGGAGTACTTGCCTAGCACTCTAGGGTTCCAACCCCAGCAATGCAGAAAAAATTATCTTTCAGTTGACTTTCCCATCTGTGCTGATGTTAGACAAAGGCAGTGTTTTGTGACAGGAATTCACAAACTTGCTCACAATGACTAACCTACTCACTACTCAATACCAGGAGTCAGCTCACTAGTATTTCTTTTCTCACAGAGATAGCATTCCTGTTCTGTGTGTGTAGAATTTCTTTTGGAGACCAAGGCCTTTTCCCTTGCCAGAGGCACTCTCTGCTTATGGTTCTGAGAACCAGTGGTCTAGAGTCAGATGCTTTCCAACACTGAAAGAGGCAGAAAGCTCCCTGATGCCACTTTGGCTCACAGCCTGGTGACTCTATCACCTCTTTGCTACTGCTGCTCACAGAACCTGCCATGTCATCTGTGCTCTCTCATTCCCACGATTCTCCAAACCTGTTGCTTTCTATTTTGGATTTGCACTTTGAGGAGATATAAATGTTAGGACAAATCTTCTCTTTGAATGATTAGATTTGGATGTACATAGCTTTTTTTTCCAAGCATGCTCATCCTGGCTTCAGGCTTCTTGTCATCCCATTCTCATTGTCATCAGGGAAGGGGTTAGGAGAACCAGGGGGCCTCCTTCCCAGGATAGCAGTGGGACAGGGCCAGGGGGCTTCAAATGTTAAGCATGTCTAATCCAAAACAGGTGATGAGCTCATCTTCTTGGACCCTCACACAACCCAGACCTTCGTTGACACTGAAGAGAATGGAACGGTTGATGACCAGACTTTCCATTGTCTGCAGTCCCCACAGCGAATGAACATCCTGAACTTGGATCCTTCTGTGGCTTTGGTGGGTATCTGAAGATTGGGTGGGCCAGGAGACATGATGTCACCCTGTTACAGATTGGTTTCCTGGGACTTGTCCAGGTTGTTAGGTAGCATGGCAAGAGTATGTTTGCTTGCCACTCCTGTGGGATGTGGTGTGATGTCATGGGGAAGGAAGAGACTCTGGAGCCAAATTACTTGAGTTAGAATCCAGGCTCTGCCACTTACTAGTTATAGACTTAGGGAAAGTCAATCTTTCTGAGTCTCAGTCTTCTCATCTCTAGAAGAAAGCAATAATTCTTTCATTTGTAGGGCTGTATGAAGTACAGTTTGTGGAAGGCACTTATCACATGGGCCTGGCACATTGTAAACATACTATAAATGTTATTATTAGTAGTATCATCTTTTCTCCTTTTTTATCTTACCCTCAAGTTATTGCCACATGGAATAAGGTGGGCCATGACTAGTGACAGAGAAAGGGACAAGAATCCCCTCAGAGGACACTGCCCATTTCTTGATACATGCAATTCACAGGGCTTTTCCCCAAAAGTATGGTTGCTGTCAACATACATTGAAGGGGCATCTGCCTGTGAGGTAGCCAGTGGTTCTCAGGCCTGTCTACATCCTCTCATCCCATTTTATTCAACTGTCAGAGCACCAGTGATTGAGAACTGACAGAGCACTCCTCTTGTTTTAGACCATCATTTTACTACTGTAGGATGGCCCTGAGAATGACGAAGGAGACTGCTGGTTCTCTCTATTCTGATAGATAATTTCCTGAAGGTCAAAGTCACCATATCAAGTACTATGTTTAGCTAAAAGTACTAATAGTAACTAAAGTATGTCTAGCTACTATTTAGCTTTTGTTTGCTGGTTTAATTGAATATTCTTTATAGATTTGTATACCTGTCTACTGAATGTGAAGAAATTAACGCCATGCTTTGGAGACTGATTTTCAACTTTAAGTATCCCACAGAATGAGGGGGAGAGGGACACAGAGGGATAGGGAGAGAGAGCAAAAGTTGAGAGACAGAGAGAGAATGAGAGAGAGTGAGTGAATGCCAGTGTGTGTGTCCAAGTGAGGCAATGAGCTAGGGGAAAGAGAAGCCTAGTCTTTTTCTACTGCTGGGAAGACACATCCAAAGAGAGTGGATCACCTCCTAATTCTGGGCCATAAGCTCCATTTTGCCATACAGAGGGCAATTCTAAGTTGTGATCTTTTGCTTCTCCCCCAAGGGATTTTTCTGCAAAGAAGAAAAAGACTTTGATAACTGGTGTAGCCTTGTTCAGAAGGTAAAGATGTGTGTTTTTCTTAGCCTTAAAAATGAAAGCTCCTTACTGTGATTTCTTTTTAGGATTGTTTTATATTATGACATAAACCTAGTCTGGTATGATTTGATTGCAAGAGAAACTAAGGCAAGTAAAGAACCTATCAGATATGAAAAATCATGCGTACCTTTAAGGAAACTGAAGAAAAACTCTTGCTTTAAGCATGCTTTGTATGTTAGGTGGGTGATAGTCTTAGTGGTAAAACTTAATGTTTCATCTCATTAAGCCTATGACATGTATGAAGTATTCCATTAATATTCTACCATTTTAATGTAAAAATGCAAATTTCGTACTGCTCATTCTTAAATTCTTCCTTACTCTGTTCATAACACTGAGATGATTAAAGAAATTAAAATACTTTCCTATGTGTTTAGTGGTTCATTTGTGGCTTAATACATTCCATCATGGCTTAGAGGACTTTCCCTTCTATTAACTGCCATTATGTAAAATATAGACTTGTAACAACATAAGGAATCATAACTTTCAGAAATGTATGTAAAATTGTTTCTTTTTGGTGTCTTGTATAAAAGGGAATCATTTCATTGGCTCACTAATCTTTGTATCTGTCTGTATTCATCATCAGCCCTCAACAGGTGCTGAATAGATAGGAGATATTGATAAAATGCCTAGTAAAAGAATGAAAGGAGATCAAAGGGAGTAGTTTACAGAACCCTGGGTGGGGTGGCAGGAGACATTTGTCTCCTGTCACCAAAATTGGAGGATTGGAAAGATGGAAGCCCGGAGCCTTGCAAGCAAAAGGGAGGAAAATTTTTCTTCACAAGCAAATGAATAATTAACACTAATGTCCCTAATTGAATCTGAAACCCCAGGTAATAATTTGCTGAGCCATAATAGAGAATTATTTTTACTTACATTTCAGAGTGTAGCAAAACTGTGTAGATATTTTAAGACAAAATGACAATTTTATGACTATGCTTTTTAAATTGGGATACATATATATATATATATATATATATATATATATAGCCTCTTCAATATATATATTGAGTGTTGAACTACAATTGAAACCATGCCAATGACATTTCTTTGGAACTGACATTTCAAAAGCACCTTACTCACTCTTAAATTGAGCTGGATCTGTGCAACTGGCACAGTATCTAAGCCTTATGATAGAGTATGGGCAATGGATAATGGGATCCATCAACTATTCCCTCCCAAGTCCTTTCTGCATTGCCACAGGGTCCAGAATTGAAGCCGGATGAGGCCTTCAGAGGGTTCAAGTAGAAGATGCGTGTATTTGCTAGATCCTTTCTCTACCTGTCAACCACCAGGCAGCTCTCAGGGTTTGGGGTCATAGATTGTCAACTGGCAGAATTGTAATGACTCTGCAAGTATTTGTAACTGTTTCTGTGTCTTCCCAGGAAATCCTAAAGGAGAATTTAAGGATGTTTGAATTAGTTCAGAAACATCCATCACACTGGCCTCCCTTTGTACCTCCAGCTAAGCCAGAAGTGACAACCACGGGGGCAGGTAAGCTGATGTTCAGGGACTCTTGGCCAACACACTCACAGGTAGCAATTGTTTTCTGAGATTGAAGCAACTTTGGTTCATGATTTCTGTGGAAAACAAAATTTCTACTTGACTGGACTGATTAAGGAATGGTGTTTCTGATTATTTGAATCTTCTGATGAGCTGATATCTGCCAATTTCAAAGATTGATAAAAGAAGAACATTAGCTCAGTGCAGAAGTTCTATGCAAAATTGAGATGACTCGAGTTGTTTTTTCATGTTATAGTTCAGAATAATAAATCAGAGGCCACGAGTTATTCAAAAGGCACCTTGTAGGCCAGACGTGGTGGTACCAGCATTTGGGAGGCTGAGGCAGGAGGATCATGAGTTTCTAGGCCAGCCTGGGCTACATACTGAGTTTTTGAGGGCAGTTTGGGCTACCTAGCAAGACCTTGTCTCAAAAACAAACAAACAAACAAAGAAACCAGCCAAACAAATGAGGTGACTTTAAGGGCATACAGATCCTCAGCAAGGCCATTGTGATTGGTCTATGTAACAGGTCTGGCTATTTTGAGTCCTTATAGAGAATTTCTAATACTTTCCAAGCCCTTTTGTCCAGAAAGGCCTTTCTTTAGCAAAGTGATTAAAGCATGCATATTATGACTGAGAAATGTATTGACTGGGCATATCAATCTAAGCGTCAAGCTTTTCTTCTTTCTTGTTTCTGTATTCTAATAGAATTCATTGAGTCTACTGAACAACTGGAGGACTTTGACCTGGAAGAAGATTTTGAGATTCTGAGTGTGTAGAATAGTGGGAACTCAGTTTGGAGGTCTGTCTTCCATCTGGCACCACAAGAACATGAACTTGTTACATAAAACTTTTCTAGTCAGCAAGTGCCTGATATGCCAACAGCATACAAATTCAATAGCAATCATGACTGAGCCAATTATCATTTCTCAGAAAAAAATGACACCAACCCTTCCCCGGGAAGAAATAGAACAATCATGGAGTCTAGGAGCAAAAAGTTTAGGAGTTCGTTGCTTCCCAGCTTGCCTTACATGGCTACAGCAAGTCTTCAGCTGCTGAGATAAGGACATTTGGAAGACAGACAGCAGCTCCCATCTCGCTTCAAGCACCAGCAGATGAGAGATGGTTACGCTGTTCTTCTTCACACTTTCAGGTGTGACCTCTTTGGAGCTAAATACTAAGAAGCAACCTGTTCTCTTGCTCAAATAATAAACTTACTGAATCAGGGAGAAAAGTTCTTGTTAAATTATTTGAATATATATTTTAAATAATTATGCTTTATATCAAAATATTTGTCAAAAATTATTTTAAATATACACTTCTTGATTGTGTTCCTATTTGGAGGAAGCTTACTATTATTTGATGATAGTCTTCATCCTTACTAATACTTTTGTCAGATGTCATCATGTCCTGAAATCAAATCATCATTTAAATCAGAGGTCAGAAAACTTTTTCTGTAAAGGGCCAGATAGTTAATATTTTAGACTTTTCAGGTCATGTGTCCTCTCTCACAACTATTCAACTCTGTGCAAAGGCAGTCATAGACAATTTGCATGTGACTGAGCATGGCTGTAATCCAATAAAACTTTATTTACAAAAACAAATGGAGGGCTGGAATTGGCCTTGCCAATCTCTAAGATTGTTGACTCTTGTTTCAGGAATTAAAAATAAATTGTGTTTGAATTATACTCAGTTTTGGTTGACAGCCATATTTAGAAAGAATTATTCATGTGGTGACATTTAACCTGTGTGTTAAATACAACTTCAAGCCATTTTAGAACTTGTAACTCACTAAGTTTAAAGCACATATTCATCAGATTAGCTTTGCTAACTAACCACTTGCCTGTGAGGATGCTCCAGTCCAAGTTTTCTTTTCTTATTCTCTTAGCTATCTGCATTTCACACGGGTCTCCATTTAACCCCATCTTTAACAGACTCACCAGTATCTGCAGTTTGTAAAGTAGCACCAATCAAGTTAACCCGTTTTCTTAGGTTCCACATTTTTCTTTATTTTCCAGTAGGTAATATATTCCAGAGGTTCAAAATTTGAAAGATACAAAATGGTATTCAGTGAAAAGTGTTTCCCTCCCAAAAGTCAGCTCCCTTCTCTGAAAACTTCTAATGTTATTAATTTCTTTTTTATCCCTTCAGAGGATCTATGCATTTATAAATATATATGCATATTAAGTAAACACATAAATATAAAATGTATGCACACACATATAGCTTAGATTTTATTTTAATGACTTTAATACTTGTGTACTTTTAATTGTAAATGATCCTGAGGCCACAGAAATATGGAAACTCCTTTCTTGCAGTCAAGCAGGTGTTGGAGATAAAAGCAGTTGTAGGCTTGTCTTGAAGCACTTTGTGGGTTTGTTGACCACTAGAGTGCTCTTTCTGTCCTTTGACTTTGATCATTTTCTAATTTGTTCTTGTCTTAATGCTTTGTTATAGAGTTTAGTGAGAATGGGTATTAGAAAAGTTTTTTATCAAAAAACGTCAATTAGTTCGAATGTTCAGATCTCATTTATTTTATTTGCTGTTTACAAAACTTATTACTTAGCTCAGAGGTGACAGTGACAGTAATTCAGATTATACTGATTATGCTTTGTCTGTGTTGGCACAGTTTACATAACACTTAAGGAAACAGAATCACCTGAAAGGAAGTGCCTCATGTCAACACTGGGAAACTGGTAATAAATTCAAATTTCCCTGAACAGAATACAATACATTCCATAGCTAGCTCCAGCTATGCTTTAGGTCTGCTAACTGCTAACAGAGGTGTGTGCTAGGTTTGAAGAAACCTACTAAAATAGTTTAAAGGGCTACCTGTGAAAGAACAGTTGGATGACTGCTCTAATGGCCTCAGAATGCAAAGAAACTTCAATTTGCCACATTGCACACATCTGGGTGGCATTTGGAATGAACGGGGACTTATGAGAAATGGGGACATGGGATTTACCTTTTTGTTCCTGGAGTCAAAAGCAAAATTCACACCTCCTTCACCATTCAATCCTCTACCTCTGGCTAAGGAAAAAGGGCTGTGGATCTCATTTCCTGGATAGGCTTGGCCATATCCATTGCATCTTCTACTCTACTTGGATCAGGCCAGGTCCTCTGTCTCTGGCCAGGGAGAGAGCTGGTCAGGAGGAAGTGATTTGTCTGGGACCATATGAAGTTAATTGGGGCCCTCTCAGCTTCTGGCCCTCAAGCTTCCCTAAGCAATGTGTGGCACAGTCTTGCTCAATTTGGAATTAGTCGAAGTTCAACCAGGGCTAGAGGCTGGCACTTCATTCTAATCCTGCTGTCTACCCAGACACAGATGGCTGCTTTGAGTGGTGAGGGCTGGCTTTTAGCCTTGCACCTTCCATTACTGTCCAGTCAGACATTTGTTTTCAAACTGTAGAGACATTGGGTTCTGGTCTAAGACAAATAATGTGTACATAAATTGGTCCTCTGGACACAAAGCAATGACTTATTAACTATTATGAAGAGCTTTCTGATTGAGGCAGTGAGGTGAGCCAACAGAAAGTGGTGGCCCAGCAAATCTTTCTGCAGTAGCCACAAATAGTCATGCAAACATCCAAATGGAATGGTAGCACCAGGCTGATGGAAACGGGACAGCAGATCCCAGCAGGATGGTCTCATCAATTGGGTCTGAAGGTTGGGGTGACCAGTGTCCAGTTGTTCCATCAAAATGAGGCTCTGATGTTCTTGAGAGATAGGCAAAAGGGCTCAGGCCTTTCTTCCTCATGTTGTTCAGACTTGTGAGGTGACCAATGTGAAGGGGAAGGGTGGGCAGGGGGCAGCATAGCGGGTGTCACCCTACAGGCTTTTCATACACACCTGGCAGCGGCTTACCCGGGTGTGCAGCTGCCCAGCTTTCAGCGTCTCAGACACGGGCTCCTCCCTAAACTGCTGTCTCTCTTCTACTGTCGTCAGCCAGAAACTGTACTTGTTGGCAAAATAGTGGCAGGTGCCTTGGGCGCCATTGCACTCGATGAAAGGAGTGGCCCGGAAGTCCTCAAGGCAAGAGCCAGGGGAGACCAGGGACTGGCCTCCTCCCTCGGCCCCAGCAGCAGTGTGCTGAAATGACAGGAGGCTGGTGTGGGAGCTGCACCCACTGGGGCCTGGTGGGGGGCGGGGTGCATTGGGCATTCTGCAGCTATAGGAGGGCACATGCACTGTGTACCTAAGGGCCACCCGGCTTCTAGCCAGATGTCAAATCTGGCTTAAGGGGCAGGCACTGCCCATTCTGTCTTGTAGTAGCCCCTTCTTGGTCCTTTCATGGCCTTCTTACCATGCTGTGTGTGTGGTCAGTGACCATATTTCAATCAGTGTTTTCCAAACTGCTGAGTTTGCAGATTTGTTACTATGGACAAATCTGAGCAAGGCTGCATTAAGAAAAACTCACTAGGGGCTTGGCGTGGAGGCATATGCCTGTAAGCAATCCCAGCTACTTTAGAGGCAGAGATAGGAGGATCATATATTTGAGGTCAGCCTGGGCAAAAAAGTTAGTGAGATCCCATCTCAGAAACAAAATACAAACAAAAAGGCTGGGAGTGTGGTTCAGGAGGTGTTGTGCTTGCCTAGCATGTGAGGCCCTGAGTTCAATTTTATACAAAGGTAAACTCACTAGGTTTCTAAATTTCAGCTTTCTGAGCCCTTTGCCACAGTGCCCAGTCCTCTAAGAAGGGAGAGAGAGTGCAAAATTCTACACACTGGTTCCGCCCTGGCCCCTTCACCAGCAGCATGTCTGTCAATAGCTCTCACTTTGGAGCTACATCCGTTACAACTACTTTTATTTCCTATCTCTGCCACAGCCTTTCGGGCTACATACAGTGTTTGTTACCTGCTGAGTATAAGAAAGCCTCCTTGCATTTGGCCTAAATGCCTCAGGCCTCACTTCGGGGAGCATTCAGTTTCAAGGACACTCATAAGCCAACAGTCTCAGTCACTGTACTCACTGAAAGCAGCCCCCACCTCTCCAGACCCAGGTCCTCTCCCTTCACTTTAGCTGGGTTTTCATCTGGACCCTGGGGTGAGGGAGGCTACATACACACCTGTGACAGCAAGTGACCAAGTTGAACCCCTATTTTGCAGCCCTCCAAGAGAATGAGGGTCTCCAAATGATCTTTCAAGAGACTCTTCCTGGTAACTGAAGCATCAAGGCTTTGACCCTCGGAATAGAAAACTTTCTAAAGCATGCAACATATCTCCCTGCTTTACTGAACAGCAGACCCTGCGTATTTTGATCTTGGTAGGGTGAATGTCAGTTTTCATGTGGAGCAATTATACAAGGGCCCCATACCTAGGGGTGCAGCTGGTCAAATTCTTGGGCCTCTAAGAATTTAATTATGTTCTCTCTCTTCTCTCTTTTTCAGTTGGCATGCTCATTGCTTCAAGATGCCTTATAATGCAGTCAAAATTCTCAGCCTCACTCATTTTCAGGAAAAATATCCTCAGATGTCAGAATTAGGTGTAAAATAAGAGTAAAGAGGTCTGAATAGGGCTAAGAGGTCTCCCATGAGCAATGCACAGGAGACTTAGTACATAACCTTTGTGACTTTGGGCCTTTTCTCCTTATTTCCTGGTCTGGGTGGTGGACAGAATAGATGACAGATGAGGTGATCTACGTTGGGATAAACTGGCCAATGTGCAAAGACAGAGCACAGTGAGGAAACAACATGCCCCAGAAGGTGCACTAATGTGAAGGGAGCCTGTGGCTTGGTAATTTTTCAGACCCTCTTACCCCTGGAGATTCACAGAGAAGCTCTGGCAAGACAGGGTACTTCAGTAGGTGCCACATTGGTTTTCCTTGGGAGTTGTCCTGTCTCGAAACCTGACTTCACTGGATGAAACATCCCCAGGTTTTCACGGAATACCATATAAGTGACACAATGCCTCCTTGGGCTTACAAATGTTCTTTCTTTCTTTCTCAGGCACAGCATGGCCAGCCACTGCCTTCCCACAAAAAAACCAGAGGCAGAAAAATGCCAGCAAGGACATAGAAACACGGTGTCTTCTTGCGAGCCTTTTGGGAGGAGACAGCAGTGGCCAGAGTGTTCAGGGAGGGTGTGTGGGAGAGCAGAGAGTGCCACGCTTAGCCTGACTAGTGCAAGTATGTCCTGGCCCTGAGTGTCCCTCACTGTTTCCTCGGTTCATAGTGTGTTTCATCCTTCTCTGGGTGGTGGCATTACTGAAGCAGGCATAGAGATGGTAGGACTTTTGCCCGTGATTCATATGTTTTCTCACCTAGAAATTGTGGGTACCAACTGCTGCCCCACATCCAGAACTGCTTATCATTCATGTTTTTTTTTTTCTTTTTGGCTACACTGAGGTTTGAACTCAGGATCTCAGGCTTGCTAAGCAGGTGTTCTACTACTTGAGTGCTTTATGTTTTAGTTATTTTTCAGATAGGGCCTCATGTTTTTGCCTGGGGCCAATCCTTGAACTCAGATCGTCCTGCTCCACTGTAGCTGGGATGACAGACACTACCATCATGCTAAGCTTGTTCTTTGAGATAGGCTCTCACTAACTTTTTTCCTGGGATGGCTGGTCTTAAGCCCAAATCCTCCTATCTCTGTCTCCCAAGTGGCTGGGATTACAGATGTGAGCCACCATGCCTGGCCCCTGTCATTCATGTCTTT